CTCCTGACTAAACACCAGGAGTCTAAGTTTACCTGCACATCATCCCCACCTGCCATCCTACGCTGGTACTCCCCAGGTCTGCCAAGGTCAATATTTTCCACAATGTCCATGTATTTTTTTTAAAGAACATCCTCTTAAGAACACTTTTTTTCTTAAAAGTAGAACAAGCAGGACCCTCCGTCACACAGTCCCACCATGTGTGTCTGCGGAGCTGTGCAGCATTAGAAGCCAGCAGGGACCAGTGTGTTCCCTGCGGCCGACTCATCCTGATGAAATTACTCGGTAAAGCCTCGAAGCCCCTGAATTTCCATTACTTTATCAGTGTACCTCGTTAATGATACCGCTTAATTTGCATAGCAGTAGTACCTTTTCACCACAGGTAAGAAATTGAAATGTTCAAGGTCAATTAACTGTGAATGTCTCAAGTTGGTTAGCGTCCCTGTAGCTGGGAGAGGGTGCGGGCTGTGAGGGATTTGGTGTTCTCCTGATGAGAATTGATGATCCAATTTTGTCTCTCTACAGTCATGCCTGATTCTCTTTTTTTGCTCACCCCGTTTCTCTCATGGGTTCACTGTTTAAATACAAATCTATAAGGGACTGTCCAATGGCAGAGAGATATTCTGAAATTCAGAATTAAAAAAAAGATGTCCCAGGAGCCCTGGTAGCATAGTGGTTACGTGTTGGACTGCTTACCAGAAAAAAAGATGTCCCTATTCTTGACTTGGCTGTTGTAAGGTGACATCAAGTTGGTTCCACCTCATAGCTACCCTGTGCACAATGGAACACAATTCTGCCTGGTCCTACGCCGTCCTCACGATTGTTATGTGCGAGCCTATAGTTGCAGCCACTTCATCGATCCATCTGCTTGATGGACTTGTTCTTTTTCCCTAAGTCCCTGCTTCAGCGAGCGTGGTGACCTTTGCCAGGGAATGGGCTCACCTGATAACATGCCCCAAGGACATGAGACAAAGTCTTGCCATCCTTGTCTCTAAGGAGCTCTTCTTCTTGGACTTCTGCAAGTCCAGGGTACTTTCAGCGTTCTTCCCCAATACCACCATCCAAAGGCATCAATTCCTCTTCAGTCCTCCTTCTTCAATGTCCGATGTTCACATACCTAGGAAGCCATTGAAAATACCCTGGCTTGGGTCAGGCCCATCTGAGTCATCAACGCGACATTCTTACTCTCTCTTCAACACGTTCTGGAGGTCTTGTGCAGCACATGTGTCCAATGCGGTATATTTTGTGATCTCTCGACTCCTGCTGCTATGAGCATTAATTGTGGATCCCAGCAAGATGAAATAGTTGAATCTTTTTTCCATATCTCGTGATATTTCTCAGTCCAGTTGAAATGAATTCGACCATTGAAATTTTCTAGAAAGAGCTAGAAATAAAGTAATCTCTATTTCCTTGGAAGTATAACCAGATACATATGAAAGCCTAACTGTAGCTTAACTCCCAGGTAAAGAGCATGCCTGATTGGGAGTGCGAGGTGGGCACCACATTATCCATTCCCAACTTTTCTTTGCAAAACTGTCAACCACACGGAGAGATGTTGTTGTAGCGATAAGAAGACTGAGGATGCTTGTTTAGCAGCAGATCCCAGAAGAATTTTCCTCTCCAAGCTTTGGTAGTTCCTGGGGCAAAATCCAATGATTAGATGTTGTCTCGTTGTTCTCAGGTGCGATTGAACCAGTTCCAACTCTGAGTGGCCTGATGGGCAACAAAGAGAACCATGCCCAGATCATGCTGATATCACAATGGTTGTGGCGCTTGAAGCTATGATTGAAGCCACGGTGTCTTCCTCTGGTTTTTTTTGGTTTTGTTTCTGGCTGGCTCTCTGCTTGACCAAGCCTGGCGTCTTTTCCCAGAACTTGTTCTCTCCTGATCACATGCCTAAAGTACTTGACTCAGAGTCTCCCAATCTTCACTTCTAAGGAGCATTCCGTCTGTTGTTTCTCCAAAACAAATGTGTTTGTCCTGGCAGTTCACGGTCATTTAATATTCTTCACCAACGCCATAATTCAAATGCATGAAAGAATTCTCCAGTCTCCCTTATTAATTATCCAGACTAGATAGGACAGGCAATTCTGCTGTTGTGCCTGGTCACATCGACTCTAAATCGCAGACCGTTCTATATGAGAGAGCAAAATTGCCCCACAGGATTTCCTAGACTGTCATTTTTCTGGGGAGTCCTGCTAATGTAGTGCTTATGTTGTAAGCTAACATGTTGAATGGCCACTATAATCCCCAAAGATTCTAAATCCAATTTGGAGTCTTTATTAGTCAGCACTGGTAGTTGTGGAGAGACCAAAAGTCTCTCTAACCCCAGCATCCCCTCACTGATGCAAGGGGTTGGCTTATAAAGGTAAAAATCAAAGGCTGGCTGACTAATTGATAGGTCTGGTTTTTTTCTACACATCTGTGCAAGTGAGTTACAGAAGCCCCAATGAGTGTTCATTTAAAGACACGGAGTGGGGCATGTTCCAGGAAGAGTCGAGATCATGAATGACATTCTGATCACACGATACAGTCCGAGAACATAGGCAGGGGAAGAGTCAGGAGGAGTTTCAAAAATCTTCAAATGGCGTTCCTGAGGTCAACTCAGCTTCCACGCATACCCCTCCAGCTGCTCCATGGGAGAAAGAGGAAGCTTTCTACTCCTGTAAAGAGTTAGAATTTCAGAAGCCCACAGGGGCAGTTCTACTCTGTCCTGTATGGCCTCTCTGCATCGGAATTTGATGGCAGTGAGTTTCTAAGAAGTTTTACAGGCGCAGGTTTGCAAGTGTTTTTCTCCCTTGAAGTGACTGGTGGGTTCTCAGAAACCAAGTACTAGGGAATCACTGCTCCACCAGGCTTCCTTTGCACAAGCATAGCCCTGTGGTAACCAGAGGTGTGTAAATCGACCCTCCCCATTGGCTAATTTCTGAGCTTCCCCGACCCCTGTCCAAGCCGCAGTCAGTTGCTGTTGAGTGAATCCCAATTCATTGGAGAGCCCACGTGGGCCAGAGAAGACGTGTGCCCATGGGGTTTCCAGAGCCTGCATTCTGGGAAGGAGATTGTGATGCTTTTCTCCAAGGTGCCTCTGGGTGGACTTGAACCGCTAGCCTCTTGGTTAACAGCTGCACAGGGACTTCTGACCCTCATGAACTCCTTTATTCCTAAATCCAGTGGGAACACCCGAGCCCCATTCTGGCTCCATAGCACTGTGAAAAGCACTGTTGTCTTCTAAGAGTGCCAGCCCCACTTGCCCACTTTGTGAACGTGGGCTGCCAGGTGTTCAAACTCTGTCTCTCTTTGTTTCATTGTTTACTAAGAAGGCTGCTTTGCAAATGAAATCCAAGAAACCCCTCACCGCTCGCTAAATATTATGTAACGTCATAGTAGAGTCGGCGGGGGCGGCTGGGTGGTGCTCCACTGTATCTTGATAAATGAAGTATGGGGAAGACTTGGCATGGATTTCGCAGTAATAGTGTAGGAGCAATTCCCACGGAGGGTTCTAGAACTCCCTGAGCTATTTGAGGCAGCTAATTGTGTACAATTTAAGATGTGCTTCAGATCATTAAAGAACACGTTATCCTCTGCGTAGGATTAAGGGCTGCAGGCGTAGGAGGGGCCCTTTGTGGCCAGGAGCTCTGTGCTGAGGAAACAACACCAAGAAAATAGAGAGCCACAGTCCACTGCCGTTGAGTTGATTCTGACTCACAGCAAGTCTGTATCTGGTGTCCTGGGATTGTAAACCTTTACACAAGCATACAGCCTTGTCTTTCTTCCGGAAGAGCAGCCAATGCTCATTCCCCACACTCCCAGGGTTCTTTCAATGAGACCAAGAAAATCAAGGTTTAACCAGGACCCGTGTCTCCCCACCAAGCCCTCTTGCTTAGGACATGAGACTGTTCTACACCAGCCTACACCACATGCCTCTGGGAGTGCCAACATGGAGTTACTAGGTAAAAACACAGACTCTGTATTACACAGGAAATGAACAACAAAAACCACCCAAATTAAAGGATGACAAATCCGCTGGATCAAAACAGAGGAAGAACATTTACTTTTGATTTATGGACTAGAAGATACAATTTTGAATCATGATTCATTCTAAGAAAGAAAATAATTTGAAAAAAGCTCTTCGTTCTAAAGACAATGCTATCAGTCATCATGGGGCTCATAGCCCATAGACGCAGAGTTTGTGGGCTGCCATCAAGAGAGGACATTGTCTACACAGGTGTATCCCATCATGATGCACAATTCTATGTGTTGTATGAAAATAGAAAACATATATTGGGCTTCTGAAAAAGATTTTTTTCTTGCACTGGGGACTATGCTCAATGCTCTACAAAACAAGGGGAAAATTCCAAGAATACTGTTTAAATGAAACTTAGACACTGCTAGCCACTCTGAGAGAAAAATGAGGCTATCTGTTCTTGTAAAGATTTACAGCCTTAGAAACTGCACAGAGGGTCAACTATGCGTCAGAATATACTTGTTGGCAGTAAGGTAGAATTTTTAAAAATGGCTTTATTGGCATATAATTCACATTTCATACAATTCAGTAGTTGGATCTTTTAAATCTATAATTTCAGCTCTTATTACTGTAAAGTGGATGGCAAAACAATGGGAGAAGGAAACTGTTTGTTACTATTTTTGTTTGGGAGTGTTATTTAATAGATGCTGCATTTTAATAGATATCGAACATTCGAGAATTCTAGATGCAGGAGTATATGTTACTTACACAATCACCAAAATCAATATTGCTTAAAATCAATAAACGCCAACTACAAAGCATTACTATATTAAACTTGATTAATCTTCAGATGTTTTCCTCTCAGCTTTACAGCCACATCTATCATCTGTTGGTGTGCACTGCAGCGAGCAAAACAGACTCAGCCCCGCTCTGCCCGTGCTTTCTTGTCCGCCCGCGTCTGAACCCGCTCCAGCGTGCGCGTCAAGTTTATCGTCTCACTTTCCGTCACTGACTTTCTCCTCTTTCTGTTTTCATAAAGGAGCTGGTGGCTGGTCTCCTCTTGTGTCCAACAAATACCAGTGGCTGCAGATTGACCTTGGAGAGAGAATGGAGGTCACCGCCGTGGCCACCCAAGGCGGGTATGGGAGCTCCAACTGGGTGAGCAGCTACCTCCTGATGTTCAGTGACAGTGGAAGGAACTGGAAACAGTACCGGCAGGAGGACAGCGTCTGGGTAGGTTTCCCTAACGAAACAGGGTGTCTCGCAGGGTGGGCCGCCCAGTCCTGGCTGCAGATTGTTTACAAATCTCTTGAGTCAAGAAGAGAAGCCGACTCTTCAGAATGACTCTGAGCACGTTCTTCCAAGGGGAACTATGGCTAATGTTCATTTGCTAATGCGTTACACAGTATAATTTATAAGAATCCTAGAGGCAAATTCATCACCCATGTCCTCAACTACTGAAGAAGAAGAAGAGATATTAGTTCCTTACATAGTGTGGACGCCCAGGAAATGAATAAGACCTGCGTAATACTCTTCCAGCTCTGTTCAATTGAAAGTGGCAGCTTGGCATTATCCTTATTTAACGTTAGTCTAAAGTATTGATTGCTTTTATTTCCTCTGGTTACTGAGATTTCTGAAAGCCTCGTTTGCTTGCTCAAGACAGATAGACAAAGGAGCTTCAGAATGCTAGTGGAAAAATGGAATGAACAGTGCATGGCATTATTCCTGTGCTAGTTGAACTCTCCCCTCCTACGTACGGGTGTGTTGAATAGATGGTATTTGTAGATTTCATTCACAAGATTTATTCTTGTTCACGTCCATCCACTTGGTTCCCACTCGCACTGACCCTAAAAACAGCAGAGCAAAACATGACCCCGTTTTGTCGTTATGTTTGAGCCCAATGTTGCAGCCACTGTGTCCGTCCATCTTGTACAGGAAGAGGGGAAAACGAGGAAGATGCCTTTGGAGGAGAGATCATCCCTTTCTCTTTAAAAGGTGTGGTCTTGTTGTGGCTCTGTGCCACGGAGTTGATTGTGACTCAGAGCTAGGCTGTGCCCAACAGAACGAAGCCCTGCCAGGTCCGGCCCCACCCTCACAACTGCCCTTACGTCGAGTTCGCCATGTCAATCCGGCTCATTGAGGGCCTTCCTCTTTTTCACCCACCTCTGCTTGACCAAGGATGGTGTCCTTCTCTAGGGACTAGTCTCTCCCCGTACCTTGCCCGAGTCTCTCCGCCCTTGCCTCTAAGAAGCATTCGGGCTGTTCTTCCTCCAGCACAGATTCCTTCGTTCCATGGTCCTTCCAGTCTTCTCCAGCACCAAGCTCGTCGATTCTTCCTTGGTTTTCCTAATGCAGTGTCCAACGGTCACATGCGTAGGAAGTGATTGAAAATGCCCCGGCTTGGGTCAGGCCACCTCAGTTCTGAAAGTAACCTCCTTATGTCTCAACACTTCAAAGGGGTCTTGTTCAGCAGATTTACCCACTGCAAGGTGCCCCATGCTCTATTTGCTGCTTCTTGCATGGATATTGATTGTGGATCTAAGCAAGACAAAAATCCTTGACAATTTCCGTCTTTTCTCCACTTATCACAACGTATTGATCTCTTGGTCCCGTTGTAAGGATTTCGGTCTTCTTTACATTGAGCTGTAATCTAGACTGAAGGCTGCAATCCTTGATCATCACCAGCAGGTGCTTCGAGTTCTCTTCACTTTCAACAAGCAAGCTTGTATCATCTGCATACCGCAGGTTGGCAATAAGTCTTTGTCCAATCCTGATGCTGAGCTCTGCTTATATAATCATATAATGCAGCTTCTCTGATGATTTACTTAGCATACCGACTGAATAAGTACAGTGAGAGGATATAAGCCTGACCTACCCTTTTTCTGGTTGTAAACCATCCCCTTGTTCTGGTCAAATCATTGCATCTTGACCCATGTACAGATTCCGCATGAGCACAATGGAGTGGTCTGGATATGATACACACATTCAAGTGCCTTTGCATAGTCAATGAAACAAGGATACCTCTTTTTTGTATTCTCTGTTTTGAGCCAAGATCCACCTGACATCTGCACTCATGTCCACGTCCTTGTGCCAAGTCCATGTTCAGGCAACTGCAGTGGTATCCTTGTTCTGTATTCTCTTCTGAACCCAACCGGGACCTCTGGCAACTCCCTGTCAGTCAATCCACTGCTGCAACCATTGCTGGATGGTATTTGGCAAATTTTTATTTGCATATATGTTAAGGATATTGTCTATAATTTGAGCCATCTGTCAGGCCACCTTTCTTTGGAATGGGTACAGATATGGATCTCTTCATTAGCTATCTTCCAATTTTCCTGGATCAGACCAGTGAGGGCTTCCAGTGCTTCATTAGCTTGTGGAAACATTTTAATTGGTTGTTCATGAATTCCCGGGGCCTTGTTTTTGCCTAATGCCTTTAGTGTCGCTTGAACTTCTTCCTTCCGCACCATTGGTTATAGCTCATATATTCTCTCCAGAAGTGGTGGAATGTTGACGAGTTCTTGTTGGTACCATGACTCTGTATTCTTTCTACCTTCTTCTAATGCTTTCTGCATAGTTCAATATTTTGCCCACAGAATCTTTCACTCTTTCAGCTCGAAGCTTGGGTGTTTTCCTCTAGTTCTTTCCGTTTAAAATACACTGAACAGAGCCTTCCTTTGTGGGGTTCTAACTCGAGGGCTTTGCATACTTCATTATAATATGTGACGTTGTCTTCTGGAGCTGCCCTTTGACACTTTCTGTTCAGCTCTTTGACGACATCGTTTCTGCTATTGGCTTCAGGTGCTCTACAAGTAAGAGCGAGTTTCAGAGTCTCTTTGGACATTTACATGGA